CATAATGGAGAATGAGAGCATCATCATAAGAGCTGTGGGCAAAGTCGGAGGAGTGGTTATTATGAACCTTACGTATTACGAGAGAGAAAGCGAAAGACTGCTGAATGATTCAGAAATGTTCATTCTTATCTGGGAAGGAGATCTTATGTCATTAGAAACATTCAAAGACTATCTACATTTTAACCCTTACAATTTCCATCAATCAGTCGAAAGTGTGGAATTCTTGGACCAAGAAATATGTATCAAGGATGGAATGATACACACTAAAACGTTTAAGAAAACAGTTGACTGTAATAGCTTAATTCTCTCTGACAGCCATTATAAAAGAACATTGTTAGACAATATTCCATATAATCAGTTTAGAAGGATCAGATAAAATTGTTCTGAATTTGGAGTACGTATTACGCAAATGGATGAAATGCAGAATCAATTCCATAAAAAGGATATGCAAAGTATATGTTGGATAAGGCCATGAATCGGGCATTGGAACTCCCAAGGGAGAGTACACTGTAGAATAAATGTAAAGAAATACATTCAACAGTGGAAACTCCATCCTTCATAATCCAGTTCAGGAATCAATCCTCCCAAGTGAGTAAAATTCTAAATAAACTTTGGGGCTCTAATATTGGGGAATAAACCCAAGACCATCCATTCCAGAGCACCCAACTTAAAGACGATGTTGGCTCCCACAATAAAGGAATAAAAAAAAAAACAGGTAAAAAATCAGAACAATTGGGCTTCCATAAGTGTGGTAAATGTGTAGGATGTAAGAATAATCCTACCCAGGAACATCTAATTAAGGAATTTAGTAACATGGAAAAAGCAGAGAATTTTAAGATTAAAACTTAACTTAACTGTAACTCAGTGGGGGTTATTTATCTTTTAATTTGCAAATGTAATAAATACTACAAGAACTAAGAGACCGTTCAAAAAGAGTGAGAGAACACATTTACGACATAAAAAGAGGTCTCCTTACACAATCTTTCCCGACATTTCTGCACATTTCACTTTAAATTATGGTTTAGGATTTATGGCTATAGAACAAATTAATATACATTGGATCTAGAACAAGTACTGGATAGGGCAGAGGCCAAGTGGATCTTCCAAGTAGATTCCTTGGAACCTAATGGTCTCAATGTAGACTTTGAAATAAATTCCTTTTTACAATAATTGTTTTACTCCTTTAACAGATTATTTACATTATAATTATTTCACACACTAGGATAAACTTCCACGGATTATGACCTTTATGACTGTGTTGTACATACAGATTTTTGATTCTAATCTTTTTGGTTTTATGTTTACGTTTATATATTTTATGTTTATTTCGATTGTTATTTTTGTGTTATTTTTTATATATATATATTTCTTTTTGTAACTTTTTTTGCATACACTATTCTATGCTACACTCACTATTTTATTCTACATAATGCTCAAATACACTAGATCCCTATCTGCACATTGGGATCATCTCCCAATATAAGGCTCCTCCTCTTCCTCCTCCTCCTCCTCCTCCTCCTTCTCCTTCAGAGATGATTTTTCTCTCCTGAAATGGTTTTCCTCCCGAGATGATTTTTCCCTCCTAAAATGGTTTTCCTCCAGAGATGATTTTTCCCTCCTGAAATGGTTCCCTCCCAAGATATTTCCCTTCTGAAATGGTTTTCCTCCCGAGATGATTATTTATAAGTCATTATAGTATACACTATCAAGACAGTATTGTTTGAATGTTTTTATGCTTTATATTTATCCTTATTGTATCTAGAATTTTATGTAACACATAGACTTGTATTTAAAATTTTTCTTGATAATATGCAATATTTATTCTTACTGTATTTATTCTTACTACATCCAAGTTTTGTGTATCAATTACAACAATCTCCATTCCTTATCTATCCCATAAACATATATTTACTCATCTAACAATATTAGGGTGAAAAACCCCATAGTGAACTTTTTTTTTTTTTCTCTTTGACAAATTTTTATTTTTCATTGTCGGTAAATGTAGACATAGGTAAAATAGGGATACAGAAGAAAAAAGGGGGAGTGGGAACATTTCACATCATATTTGTCAGACCCCAGATTAACAGTGTACATTGCCAGATCTAGTTATGCAGGCACATAGTACAATTAAAACAGTTTAACATTGTATTCATATATATTAATTCAGTTCCTGTTTTCTGAAGGTATTGTGTGTACCATTTAAATTTCAATGTACATGCATAGTAATGGTGGTGCCAGCGACATGTCACAGTGAGTATGTTCTTTCCAATTAGGGGGCTTGGAGTACTAATTATGTGAAAAAGGGTAAAAACTGTTGGGGGGTAGAGGAAAAAAAACAAAGGGGAAGGAGGAATTTGGTGAGTTTGGTCGCAGAGTTGGTGATCGATTTTGTCTAGATTGCGATGCACTTAGGTTTGATTATGAGGTTGTGGGAATGCTTGTATGGTACTTATTCTTCAACTCCCATTTATTCCATGCCAGAACCCATAAGTTTTTCTTTGTTTGCGCTTTCCTTGCTGCTGTTTCATATCGTTTGGTAGTTTCTACCACCTCTATACATTTTTGTATACAGGGGGGTGTGTCTTTCAGCCAGTTCCTACTTATGGCAGTTAAGGCTGTGATAATTATATGGTATGCCAGGTATTCGTTCGGTTTCTGTAGTGTTTTGGGCCATATGAGTAACAGATAAGATAGTGGAGTGTGCGGTAACTTTACGCCTGTGGTGTCCTCTATGAGGCCTGAAATGTCTAACCAGAATTTTGTCAGTTTCGTACATCCCCACCATATATGGGTCATAGACCCGGGCTCCACACCACATCTCCAGCAGATGTCTGGTTTGGTAGAATCCATCCTGTGCAGCTTTGAGGGCACCATATACCACCGATATAGGAGTTTCCTGCTTATTTCTATGTGTGCTGTGTTTAATGTGAGCGTTTTATGTGCTCTCTGTGTCTGAAGCCATTCTTCAGGCGTCAGTGTGTGGTCCAGTTCCCTTTCCCATGTTTTAATAAAGTTGAGTTTTTCTGTGGTGATGCTGTGTTCAAGCAATCTATATAGAGTGGACAGTAGTCGTACATAAGTGTTCTATCTCATTAAGTATATAGCCCCGTGTCTGGGAGTTGTCATAGTGTTTGGTTACCCATGATTTCAATTGCAGGTACGAGAAGAAGAGTGTGGAGGGTAGATTGTATTTGTTACATAGCGAATCATAATCGCTTGTATGTCCATTTGTTAGTACCTGTGATATGTAGGACACTCCAAGGGAGTTCCATGTTTTATAGTCAAATCCTGGGATCAAAATATTTAGTGCCCGGAGTTGAAGGTTTTGGGAGAATTGTGCCTTTTTATTTTGTTTTTTGACCAGATTGTCCCATATTTTAAGTGTAGCTATTGTGGTTGGGCATATGTTTTTATAGTGTGGCCTTTTGTCCACAGGTATCCAGGCTAGAGTGTGTAGCGGCATTCCCTCGGTGTATGCCGCTTCTATTCGGTTCCACGCAAGTGGCGTTTTGTGGTAGTGTATGTTTACAAGTGTGCTTATCATAGCTGCCTCATAGTATCTTGAGATGTTTGGGACCCCCATTCCGCCAAGTTTGAAGGGTTTGTATAAGACCTCTGCTGCTCTTCTGGCTTTTTTCCCCACCCCATATAAATTTATTTAGAGAGCGCTGGGCATCTATGAGAAATAGTTTTGGGAGAGCTATCTGTAGGGTTCTGAAAAGGTATTGTAGACGTGGCAATACCATCATTTTTGCTGCTGCGATTCTGCCTATCCACGACACGTATTTTCCCTTCCAGCCCTGTATTTGATTTTTTATCTCCCGGAGGAGCTTCTCATAGTTGGCCTGGTACAGTTTACGTGTGGTTGGCGTGAGTGATATGCCTAGAAAGGTGAGGTGGTCACAACTCCAATCATATGTGTATTTACTCTGTAGATTTTGGAGCCTTGGGATTTGTATGTTGAAGCTCATGGCCTGGGTCTTAGTGACATTTAGTTTGTAGTATGAGCAATTGCTAAATTGTTGTATTACTGTCTGTAATGTTGGTAGTGATATTTCAGGTTTAGTCAGGGTCAGCATTACATCATCAGCAAACAGCGTGATTTTGTGCGTTACATTGCCAATTGTTATCCCGTGTATGTTTTGGTTTTCTCTGATGTGTTGAGCTAGTGGTTCCAGAGCTAGAATATATAACAGGGGTGACAGTGGACATCCCTGTCGGGATCCGTTCGATATTCGGAATTGTCTGGAAGCGAAGCCTCCATTTATCACCTTCGCAGTTGGCTCGTTGTATAAGGCCGAGACTAGTGTGAGAAAGCGTTGTGGGAAGTGATATTTCTGAAGCACGGCTTCAAGGTATCCCCAGTGCAGCCTGTCAAATGCTTTCTCAGCATCTAGTGACAGGGCTACACTAGGTTCCCGGGTTTGCTGGATGGTGTGAATGAGGTCAATTAGTTTTCTGGTGCCGTCGGAGCCCTGTCTACCCTTGACGAATCCCACCTGGTTGTTTTTTATTAGAGATGGTAAAAAATTCCCCAATCTAGTTGCATATATTTTTGCCATTATTTTTAGGTCTGTATTCAATAATGAAATTGGGAGCAGGTTTTGGCATTTGTGTGGTGGTTTACCAGGTTTGGGTAGTGTTGTTATATGTGCAATCAACATCTCTAGGGGAGGGATTCCAGTGGATAGGATATGATTGTATAAGTTCACTAGGTGAGGTGTCAACGTGTGGGAAAAGGTCTTATAATATAGATTCGTAAACCCATCTGGGCCTGGGGATTTCCCTTTAGGAAGCATTTTTATCGTCTGTTGTATTTCACTAAGTGTGATGGGTTTTTCTAGTTCTAGTTTGTCATCCGGTGTTAGATTAGTAAGCTCTACTTCCCTTAAGAAGTCCGCTATGTTGGATGTGAGAGGCTGGTGTGTGTTGCCATAGTTTTTTAGGTTATATAATCCTTCATAATAATCTGCCATCATATCATTTATGTCCTGTGGGGTTTAATACATTTTGTTTCCCTGCTCGTTGAAGAGGAAAGGTATTTTGGCATTCTGTTGTTTCTGTCGGAGTGTTGATGCCAGTGCCTTCCTTGCCTTATTTCCTTGTGTATATGAGTTGAGTTTTAGTCTAAGCATGATGTTCATTGTCTTTAGTATATGTGTTTCATTGATTTGCTTCTGTATGCGTTGTATGTGTTGTTGTCTGTCCGGTGATGGCTGTGAGATTTGGGCTCTAGTTTCATCTCTAAGGGATCTAAGTAGGTGTACATAATCTTGATTTGACTTGCGCTTGAGATAGGATGCTCTACTTATGAGATGTCCGCGGATAACTGCCTTATGAGCTTGCCACACAGTGGCAGGTGAGATATCAGGGGTGTTGTTTTGTGCAAAGTATGATATTATTTCTGAGTTTAGCTTGTGGCTAAATTCCGGATTTTGTAAAAGAGTGTCATTCAAACGCCAGGGCGTTGTTCCTCGGAAAGCAAAATTATCTTTGACTGTTAGCCAGACAGCAGCATGGTCCGACCAGGTTATATCGCCTATATCGCTATGGGTTGCGTGTGGTAGTAAATCACCTGTGATTAGTATGTAGTCAATCCTAGAGTATGTGTGATGGACAGATGAGTAGAATGTAAATTCCCGGTCATCTGGGTGTTGTGTCCTCCAGATGTCGTAGAGTCCGTATTCCGAGAGTAGTCGTGTTAGTGCTGCTGTCTGTTTGCTTTTATATCTAGGTGATGTATGTGGTAAGGTGGTGTCTAATTTGGGCTGTAGTACGTGGTTGACGTCTCCGCATATAATTTGGGGAATGTGGGTTATAGTCGTCAGTTTCGCTAATATCTTGTGGAGAAAATTTTTCTGATTATCGTTTGGCCTGTAAAAACTCGCTATGAGATATTGTATGTTGTTTATGTTGCAATGCAGTATGATATACCTGCCCTGTGTATCTCTTTTTAGTTGTAGAAGTTCAAATGTTAGGGATTTATGGATGAATATGGAGGCTCCCCTAGATTTGGAGGAATATGTTGAATGATATTGTGTTGGGTAATCCCTGTAGGCGAATGTTGGGACTCTGTTGTGTACAAAGTGCGTCTCCTGCACACAGAGTATATCCGTTTTGTACTTTTGTGCTTCTTCCAGCAGTAGTCTGCGTTTATGCGGTGTATTTAACCCGCGGGTGTTAATTGATTGTACCTTCATCTACTAAGTACAGATGTGGGATGATTGCTAGGCATTGAAGCATACAATTTATTGGTCTATTGTTTATGGCAGGATGTGGTGTCATGGGAGTTTGCATTATTGAAGTAAAGATTGTGTGATATTGCAATGTTATGATATGGAGTCCCATTTTTTGTTGCATGTTATATCGTGTGCGTGCGCTATCTAGTACTGCGTTGGCATAGATGTGTCTTATGTTTTTTGTTGATCTGATGGGGGTATTGACAAGGGATTTAAAACTTGGTGGGGGAGGGATAACTATGTACATTATGTCTCTTTGCGAGACAAGGTGTGGAATTGCCACACCATGGGGGTTGGAGTTGTTTTTTATCTCCATCAACGTGGTCCATGGGCTGTATTTAAAAGTCACTGCATAATGCGCTATGTGTGGTTTGGTCGTATATAGCTGAGTAGTACAATTATGGAGTCGGGTCTCTACCCACATGTACATTTCAACTGTGAACCCCCGCAGGATATCCATGTTCGGGGCGGAGAGCGGCCGCGTCAGGTCTGTCGCCCACCGGCCCTAGTAGGATGCCTCTACGCTTTGGGCATGCTTATCGTCAGTTTGGGTGTCACGGAAATTCTCTTCCCGCTGGAGGCCACTGTGTATATAGCTAAATCACAGCTAGTTAGTGTGTTACGGTGTCCCTATAATCGCCGTTCGGGAAGGGGTCAGTCAGAGGGGACGTTCCTCACTAGTAGTGTGTTCATGTTAGGTTGTGTCAATGTCTATAGAGAGTGTATCTCTACATTAAAACCTAAACATTCTCATATCAAATGGCATGTTACATTACATCTCCCCAGTCCCTCCCCCTCCCTCCTGGTTAATTCATATTACTATTTTGAAAAATCTAAATATGAAAATGAAGCAAAATTTGAGAGAAAAAATAAGGGAGAAGCAGAAATAAATCCAAGTCTCTCAGTCTGTATGTCTCTGTGGGTCTCCATGTGATCCGTCATGGTGCCTGGTCCCCCATGTGGGGGTGCCTGAAATAGTGTTAGTTGCTTACCCAAGATGGTCCCCCACCAGAGGCGCAGCCCTGGACCCGGGTCTCCCGCATCGGTTCCGCTGCTCTGCATTGCTTCGTCACAGGGGATGTTGGGAGCTCCGGATCCAATGGTCCACCCAGACTTGCACAGAAGCCATTCCCAGCCGGAGGTGCGGCCCCAGACCCGGCCCTCCCGCACCGACAACCCTGCTCTGCACCGCTTCGTCGCAGGGGGGTGGCGGAAGTCCCGGATCCGGCGGCCCGCAACGTTCAGCGGGCTCATTTAGTCTTGGACCCGGCCAAAGCAGGTTTGTGGTTATTTTTAGAAGAGTAGTTCTTTATAGGTCGTGTTCGTTGTGGGTGTGAGCTACATAGAGTAGTTTGTCCAATTTTGCCGGTAAACCAGGGATCGTCCTGGATTAATGTTTCTTTTGGTTCATTGTCCGTTCTGTTTTAAGCTTTCCGTTTGTCTTTGGTATGTTCTGGGGGTCGGGTGTTAGTTGTATGTCCCAGCCTTGTAATTTCTGTTCGCCATCTTCTGGTGTTTGTATCACCGTCGTTTTTCCTTCTTTTGTTATGATGAGTTTAGTGGGGAAAACCCACTTATAGCGAATGCCATGTGCTCTCAGTGCTCCTGTTATCTGGGAGAACTCCTTCCTTCTCCGGAGCGTGGCTGCAGAGAGGTCCGCGTATATCCGGACCGCGGCATATTCCTCCGGCGGCCTGGCTCGTGTTTTACAGCTTCTGAGTATATGCTCTTTAACATGGAAATAGTGAGCTCTCAGTAATACATCTCTTGGGACTGTAGGGGGGAGATGGCGCGGTTTAGGGATGCGGTGCATCCTATCTATCAACAGCATATCCGTTGGTAACTCGGGTGCATGGGCTTTCAAGCAGCCTTTAATGTAGGAAGGCAAGTTATCATTGGTGATTTCTTCAGGGATTCCCCTTAGTCGGAGGTTGTTCCGGCGGGAACGGTCCTCCATATCTGTTAGTTTTTCTTCCATGTTCTTTAGTTGTGTGGATAGTTGTTCCACATTGGTGGCTAGGTCATTGTGCGCTGTAGCAAATTCATCATATTTATCCTCCATGTTTGTTGTCCTCCTCCCCAGTTCCTGGATATCTTTTTTCAAAGAATCCGCGGTATGTTGCCATGTTGTTATCAGCTTGTTTGATAATATTTCCAGAGCAGCTGAAAGATCTGCCTTTGTGATTTGTGTGTCGTTTGTTTGCGTGCTGGGTCTTGAGCACTGTTTGCCATCGTCGGAGTCAGGATCCTCGGTGTCAATTGCGGCCTGTTCCGCCGGAGCTGCAGACGTCGTTTTCTGACTGAAAAAATTGAGTTTTTCGGGTTTCGCCGAACCCCTTTTGTTTTTATGTTGTGACATCCTTGTTGAGGGTCACTGGATGCAGTTTCTGCTATTAGGATTATCGCGGATTAGGTGCCCATATGGCAGAGCAGAATTCTATGCAGCCATCTTGCTCCGCGTAGGCCACGCCCCCCACCCCGTAGTGAACTTTTAATGAGGACACTCAAGGGTTAAAATCCCCAAATTGGCAGGATTAAAAAGCCGCAGAGCAAATGAGATGCATACCTCTGATGAAGTGATCATAAGATCATGAAACATGTAAGGCTGCATCTATCTCACCAGACAGCACAGTGGACCGCAAGATCTGCAGTAGAACGCACGCCAATATGCAGAGACCGATTTCCCTACTGTCACACTCCCCAAGCTTCGTCCAAAGCCACTACTATGAGGGAGCAGAAGAGGGGGGTTGCGGCTGATAGGAGTTGGACTCCAATCCACCAACCACACTGTCGTGTCATATTGTGAGTTTATTGGATTTTATTTTGCTTTTATTCCTTTTACAGTAAAGTGTAAACAGACAGCCCTGTTTGTCCTGTTTTTTTCTATTGTAGATTTATGGGATACTGATGATTTCTTCCTTTGGAACTATTTTATCAAACTTGCTACATTTATCAAATTGTATTTCCATGGTTTATTTCAGTTTGATACTATATAATTTCAGCTATTTATATCAGGTTTCCTCCTTCCATTATAGCAGTAGCCTTTACATGCATTCTACTTCTAGCTGATACATTATTGGACATATTGCATTGACTGTTATTTACATTTATTTATTGTTCAGTTCATAATATTTATCTGGACTTGGTTATATACCATATATGGACTATATCCATTTTAGACTACAGGACATTGTCACCTAGACTCACTGTTTAGTGGATTTGCCTTGTATTGCAGTTTCCATTAAGGGCTTTTTTTCTTTTTTCTTTTATCTTCTATTTCTTTTTCTTTTATTTTAATGCACTTATACCCACTCTTGGTCATTACTTAAGATTTTTTTTCTCTTGTGTTTTTGTACTACCCCTTTATTTATTTAATTAGGGTCCCCACACGCTGCCCATGGGTGGGGACCAGGTGAAATATTAGGTCCCCCCTTTAAAGCGGCACTGTCATGGCCGAATCCCGTTTTTTTGTTTTTTTTTAACCCCCCTCCCGACTCCACTACGTCTAACTGACCCCGTAGTCACCCATATTTCCTATTTTTTGTTCTTTATTTTCTGCCCCGATCTATATTTAGGGTGCTGCCATCTTTGTGTGGGTAGAGGAAGTCCCTGTGGGACACGTCATCTGCCCACACTAGACAGACTGTGAGATTCCCGCACATGCCAAGTGAAACACTTGGACATACGAACAGGAATTTCACCTATTCATTCGTCAGGAAGACGAATGAATGAATAGAAAAATCATATGAACAAACTAACACTGAGTATCAGTTCGTTCAGTTTATTACAAGGAGGGAGTTACCGGCACGCAGCTCCCTCCTTGTAATATGTAAAGATAGAAGAGGCAGGGAGCAGTGCTCCCCGCCACTTCCTAAGCCCCCCATATCCTCCCTCACTCTATGGGGGTCAATATGACCCCCATAAAAGCATAAGGGAGATTAAAATCTCCCGAATACCCCTACTCAGACCTACTGTCCTCCCCCCGGCCCCCACCCCTGCGCGGTGGGGGCCATAAATTACAATGGGGGACCTACTGTCCTCCTCCCAGCCCCCGCCCTTGAGCAGTGGGTGGGGGCCATAAAGATAATGAGAGGGGATGACCTAATGTCCTCCCCCCGGCCCCCACCCCTGTGTGGTGGGTGGGGGCCATAAATTACAATGGGGGACCTACTGTCCTCCCTCCACAGCCACCACCCTTGAGCGGTGGGTGGTGGCCATAAAGATGAGGGGGGACCTTCTGTCCTCCCTCCCGCCCCCACCCTTGAGCAGTGGGTGGGGCCATAAAAATAATGAGGGGGGAACCTACTCTTCTCCCCCCGGCCCCCACCCTTGGGTGGTGGGTGGGTGCCCTAAGACAAATCCCCCCCCTCCCCCAAAGGTGACTAGGGGTCCCCAAGCCCCTAGTCACCCACCCCTCCACCCCCAAAAAAGTTACCCCCTACCTACCCCCCTCACCCTAAAAAATAGTGAGGGGGGGGAATAAAATAACTAACATGTAAAGATAAATGAAACTTACCATTTGACGTCTTCTTTTTTCTAAAATCTTCATTTTTCAGCCCCAAAAAAGGCCAAATAAAAAACCATCATACCCGTTGAACTTATAAAAATAAAAAACCAGAGCGCAAAAAAAAAGACGAAAAAGAAAAAAAACAAGCGCAAAAAAGTAAATCAATCTTCACCCATGGAGGGCTCCACGCAGACTGAGCTCTGCAGGCTCTGCAGTTAGGCTAAGAACACTCTGATTGGCTGGTTTAAGCCAATCAGAGTGCTCTTTGTCATTTTACACGGCATTGGAAAATGACACAAAACACACCCGCCCAGGGGTGGGGGCCGGGGAGGAGAACAGTAGGTTCCCCCCTCATTATGCTTATGGCCCCCACCCACTGCTCAAGGGTGGGGGCCAGGGGGGAGGATAGTAGGCCCCCCATTGTAAGCCCCCCCACAGGCTGCTCACTGTTTAATAGACATGCCCCATCTCGCGGTATAGCACGTAGGGGCATATCATTTACTAATATTAGTTAATTTTTACTTAGTATTAGTAAACATGGCTGAAATTGAGGTCTTTCAGCCAATTGAGGTCTTTCAGCCTTTTGGTAGATAGCTCAGAAATACCGTGGGAATTAGGGAGCTATCTATTAAGCGGCTGCAAGATGCAGCTGCGGCACAAATTGAATTGGAGTTTCATTTATTCTAATAAAATTCCGATACGAACAAAGTGCAGAATTGTGTTCTCAAACAAAAGAACATACTGTTCTCATTCAGTTAGAACACAATTTGTCAGTTTCATCTAAAATGACAGTAAGCATCGCAAGATCACAGAGGAAAGGTTAGAAATTGCTCTGACCAGCGGAAATGAAGCACACTTTGCTCCTCCGCTGGTCAAAGCTGGTCAAGTGGAGGAAACCTAGATAAGGCAAAGAGTCCCTACTTTGTCTTATGATTTTAAAGAAAAACTAAAGAAGACAGGAAGAAAAGAAGAACAGATCCTGAAAAGGGGGAGAAGAGGAAGAGATTGAGGAAAGGTAAGTTCGGCATGTGCCGTTTTAATTAATTAGGGTCCACACCCACCACTCATGGGTGGGGACGAGGGGAAACATTAGGTCCCCCTTTAATAAATTAGCTTCCCCTCCCACTGTACATGGGTGGGAACCGGGGTGGGGGGTCATTAGGTCCTTCCTATTATTTATTTAGTGTTCCCACCCACCGCTCATAAGTGGGAAATAGGGAGGAAAATAGGTCCCCCTTTAATTAGTTAGGGTCCTCACCCACCGCAGGGATCAAGGGGGACATTCTGTCCCCCCCATTTATATTAATAGCCCCCACCCGTGGGTCACGGGTGTGGGGAGGGCACTATTTCCCCTCCATTTTAGTTATAAGCTGTTCCCCACCATGGGGAAATGCGGGGACCTGTGCCAGACCCCCCCCTTATTGCAGTAGCGACTGGGCAGCAATAACAGTAGGCTGCAGTAGGCTGCCCAGTCACTAGTACTTTTAAATTTGTTTAGGAGACATGCCCCTACTCATGGCATACTGCAAGTAGGGGCATGTGGGATGATTTATTAACCTCCCTTTTATAAATACTGATTTATATTTAGTTTGGCAGCTTGCTATTTAGGCGACAGAGTGACCCTCATAGGTTTTAATAGGGGGGAGGGGGGGTTAGGAATTAATATTATTACAAGGAGGGAGATGGTAGTGCTGCCGGCTCCCTCATTGTTTTTTTTTTTTTTTTTTTACTCATGCACAGTGTTATATTCTCCATGCTGTGGCAGTTAATTCCCTGCAGCACAGAGTTTATTAAATGAACAAACTGAAAAGGTAATGCATTTGGCATTTGCCATTTTGTTTCATTTATATTTCGTATGTAGGGCTTTCGTTTACGTTTTAGTAAACAAATACGGAAAAATCAGAAATTTTGGATGAAATTTTATTTGTACGAAAACGAATGCACATGTCTACTTTTCAGGTAACCTGTGGATCCCTGTACTCACATGGAGACATATATGGAAAATTACTGGAGAAGTAAATGCCAAGCAGCATATATTCGAAAATAGCCGACGATGGAGCTGTGCAACAATTAACTACAGACTCCAAAGCCCAGACATTCCACTCTTTCTACCAGAATCTTTATATAGTACCATATGACTGTTTCTAATTACATCACTACAACACCATGCCCACATTATACCAGCAGAGGAGATGGATCTCTTTTAGGTATCTTTCACCCATTTGAAATCTGCTAGTGCTAAAATCCTCCCTGCCGTGGAAAAGCCCAGGCCCTGACAGTCTCACGACACGCTACTATAGTACATTTACAGAGCTTTTAGCTCCTCATTTCCTTCACACTTGTAACTCACTCATGCCAGACACCCCTATGCCCTCTATGTGCTTCTATCATGGTTATGACAAGGCATAGATCCTATTCAATGTGGTAGTTACAGGCCAATTTCACTGATCAACACTGACATAAAACATTTTGCAGGCAGGGATGCATGGTACAACACCACCACCAAACTCCTTATGGCCATTGATGTCAAAAAAGCATTTGACAGAATTGACTTCTCCTGTCTTTTCAATATGCTGGAGGCACTGGGGCTTGGGACGAGGTTCTGGCACTTAGTTCATCTACTTTATAATAGACCACCAACCTGTATTAAGATTAATGGCAAAAACTCTAATCAATTCCTTTTCATTTTAGTTATGGAGCCCTTTTTACAAGCCATCTGCATGTACCCCCAGAATGAACAACATGCCTTCCCAGTAGGCTTAAGAGGGCTTAAAATATATGAGAATCTACATCACCCACCCTTCCCCTTGCCCCCTCCCCCCGATTTTGGGCATAGTTAATGAAAACTGCTTGCCTATTCTAGCTGACATCAAGTCAGATATTAGTATATGGAATCTCATCCACTTCTCAATGATAGGATGAATGAACTTCTTAAACATGATGATACTCCCCAGAATATGATGTGTTCCAGATACTACCTGTCTCAGTCCCACAACCTTTCTTCACCAAGGTTATGTCTCTCTTCAACACATATATTTTTTGGGGGAGGAACACCCACATATTGCTTACCATGTTCTAACTAGCAGTAGGGAAATAGGGGGTTAGGGCTTCCTAATATGTCTTTATTATGCTGCTGCTATTATAACCAGACTATGGGAGTGGACTAACATAGACCAGAAAAGATGCTGGCACTCACTTGAACAAAGTTTTGTATCACCTCGGCTTATGTCCCACAGAAATAGTATTAACCCCTCATCACACTCCTTAATAATGAATGTTTTACACATCACACTCCTTAATAATGAATGTTTTACACATTTGTATCAAATATAAAATATATAACATTGTAATATGTTTCAGGACGAACCGGTGGCCTAACACGCAGAACTAAGTCAAACATGGACAAAATAACAAACAGAAATGATGTATTACCGGGCCTTAGAATGGCCGGATTTAACATATAAGAACAACCAGTAATGAGCCGAAGTCTGGAATACCGAAAGGAACAAATACGAAAAAAACAAAGCCAAGGGTCAGGGATACCAGAAATACAGAATAACCAAACAGGAATGCACTCTCAGATAACCAACAGGATGGAAACCACAACAGGGCACTGAACAGCAGCAGGTTTGGGTTTAAATAACCCAGTAAACTCTGCTATTTTCTAACTTGGGTCCCAAGACCCCAGAACGTGCTTGCATGGCAAAAACGTGACACCGCATGCATGTTCACATCACTGACGTTATTGTGGGCGGCGCTATCAAATACCACCACATTGCAGCAGCCGGCGTCCTTCCTAACACTGGACTCAGCTGCTGTCCTAAGAGCTGTGTGGAGGGAGAGGCGCTAGAGGCAAGGTAAGTAACCCCTCCCTCCTTTAGTGTGACTGCACCAATCATATGCGTATGTGAATGGACAAAATAGGGATACAGCTGAATAACTAAAAAACATAAGAATACATAGCACATAGTGAAGTACCGTCACAATAATAAAATGTAAACCTCTATGATTGCACTCACAAAATAATGATGAATAATGCGCCTTTAAGCCCTCAAAGGGCTGCAATAGTATTCACCCTCCACGGATAGGTTTCTCTGTCTTCCAAGAAGTGGGAGTATGCCAGTGTAGTATAAAAAAATCCTTTTATTGTTAAAGGCACTGATAAGCCTATATCAAAAATCAATAATTAAAATATACAAATAGTACTGCATCTAACGCGTTTCGTCCATACAAATTGGACTTCATCAGAGAAAATTTTGCAGTATACACAATATATAAAATACAAAGCATGCATCAAATATATTGTGTATACTGCAAAATTTTCTCTGATGAAGTCCAATTTGTATGGACGAAAAGCGTTAGATGCAGTACTATTTGTATATTTTAATTATTGATTTTTGATATAGGCTTATCAGTGCCTTTAACAATAAAAGGATTTTTTTATACTACACTGGCATACTCCCACTTCTTGGAAGACAGAGAAACCTATCCGTGGAGGGTGAATACTATTGCAGCCCTTTGAGGGCTTAAAGGCGCATTATTCATCATTATTTTGTGAGTGCAATCATAGAGGTTTACATTTTATTATTGTGACGGTACTTCACTATGTGCTATGTATTCTTATGTTTTTTAGTTATTCAGCTGTATCCCTATTTTGTCCATTCACATATCTGTATTTGAGGTTCGTTTGGGGGAAACCTCTTGGGAAGCTGTATTCATCTTATACAAAGTTAAGTACCTCTGCATATTCCTACCACTGAGTTGGTTAGGTGCATTTGTATTTCTTGTGTATGTATTTGTTTTTTTCTTTTTCTTTTTATTCACCAATCATATGCGGTCACATCGCATGGCTAGCATTACATTTTTCAGAAATTTAAGCTACAGTCACTTTCTCTGTGATCAGACTAGGCAGGCTAGCCTTCACTTTCCATGTGCATCATTGGGTCTTAGGCACACATCTGCCTGATGCCGGTTCACTGGATGTCCTTACTTGCACAACATTTGGTAGGTACTAACCACTGCAAACCGGAATCACCCTACAAGACTTGTCAAAGTCGCTCAGACATTTTTGCTTACCTCTTTTTCCTGCTTCCAATACATGGAATTCAAGAACTGACTGTTCACTTGCTGCCTAATATATCCCACCCCTTGACAATTGCCATTGTAACAATGTAATCAATGTTATTCATTTCACCTGTCAGAGATTTTAACATTGTGTGTTAAATTGTGCATTAATGACTTGTGCATAGCCTGATAATAACAATTTAAAAATAAAAAAGTAGATAAAAATGAATTTAAAATCAACAAAACTAAAAAGAGCGTACTATAGAACAGGCAAACAAAGAAACTGGAATCACAAAAGGTGCATGATTTATAGACTTAAATGATACAGACTCTATAAAACTAAAGAGCAATTAAAAGGAAATATAAAAGGACAAGAAAACAAACTGTATTTGAAAGACACATATCACAGCCCCCACAATAAAAAAAATGCAGGGGTGTAATTCCTCCCAGATTGAAGCAAAGGTTACATTAAATTTGGATATTTACAAAAATAACACAGGGCATGACCAAATCAGAGACAGGTTGTTCACCCCAATAACATTTAAAAAAAATAAAGCTAACTATAAAAAGATGTTTGTTTTTTTATAAAGTCTATCATATCAACAACATCCTTTCTAATGCTGTACATTCTAATTTACAACAACAATTTAATTTCTATTCATGAAAAAGAAAAGTAAACATTTAGACATTTTCACAGAAATGGTTCAAGGGAATTTTAAAAAAGTCTGTAATAAACAGGTTAATTACAACTTAACAAGAAATGAAAGGAAGGCATTTATTCGATTTAGCAATAATGTACTAATATAGCAAATAATCACAATCTCTTTATAAAAGAGACTGGTAAAGGGGGAGATAAGGATTTCACATACAAACAATATTATATGGATGAATCTTACAGGAGTTTAGATAACAATATTGATAAAATACTTGAGAATAGTCCCATGATCCAATTCCAAAAATAACTAAGGAAACGTTTGCATCAATATCTAGATGAATAAATAGATTCTAATGAATAATTTAGGGTAATTTTTAAAGTTTCAGTCCTTATCCGGACTTTCATCAGGATAACTGTAACAAATATAGGGCAACCAATATATAGGCACAGGCAGCCCTAAACCATGTTCAAAGTGGCCTAAATACCAGTTTTGTTACAGTTATCCCAATGAAAGTCCGGATGAGGACTGAAATGTTAATGATAATGTAAAGTTACTGAACATTGGTGAATAAAGTTTGCAAATTAAGACCAGTGAGTGCCCTTTTTCCAGTGTATGTATTGTTAATAGGCAGAAGGAGCACCTTGGCAAGTAAAATAGTGAGAGTGAGTGTAGGATCATGCTTTTTGTATATATATACACACATACACAGTTTATTTAACAGTGAAAAATACAAAATAATTAAAATAAAATATACTGATAATTATTTTGCATTTGTTACTCAATATAGTATCCATGCTAAAAAAAAAAATAAAAAAAAAAAAATCGAATTATTCTAAAACAAACATTGTAATATCCATAAAAAAAGATGAACTAGTAAAACCTATTATTCCAAATCAACAGCAATAATGTATCATAAAGCTAATTCATTAATTGTAAAAAGGCCTTTTACCAAAAAATGGGAATCAAAGAATCTTTTCAAAAGATAAGCCAGAAGGCATCTACAAATCTGGGAATTGTTCTACATGTATTCACCAAGAAAGGAAAAAAAAGTCAATTTTAAAAGTACCTCATTAGTACATAAAGGAGTATCTCATTACAAGGTCTGTTGAAGCAACTGTTTCATTTATTAATTACAATGTGATAGCAGCACACAATATGTAAGCCACACTAGTCACAAGCTCTATGTAAGATTATTGGAAGATAGTGTGCCCAAACATTGCAAAAGTTGTCTGGCATTTCATTGGAATAATTTTACAGTCATAGGTTTAGATTATAACCTTAGGGCATGGACTGAATCTGAATAAAGATTTTACAGGTTTAATTTGAGAATTATAGATTTACAGGAATTTTCATTCATAGTCATCTGTTGTCTTTTGGTATAAAATATAACTGTGCTTTTTTATGTTTTAGGTCTTTAACAAATGGCCATTCTTTTTTCCTCTCTTAGGTAACAATGCAGTAATTTTATTTTTTAATTAGATCAGTATCATTTTAGATTTGTTTTAAGAAAGTTCCAAAATCTGGATTAAAAACTGCCAGCATCCTATATTCTAAAATAAAAACCATATTTTTCTTTTTTATGATTTTTTTTATTTAGCACATTTTTATATATACATATATTTTTATTTTTTTATTTTTTTCCTTCTATTCATTTTCTATTCATGTGTATTTGTATTTTTCCCACTTAATTGTATTACAATTATTCTATGTTTTCTGTATATGGTATGTGCTGTGGGACTCCTATGTAATTTGAACTATGTAGTTGCATTTTTACATTTTAGTATTTGCAATATGCCATATAAATATATATTTTGGTGGTTAGATTTGTTTGTTTTTGTTTTTGTTAAAGTCAATTTTTCTGTTAAAAATATCTAGCTGTATTAAGTGCTAATCAAATATGTAATTATCTTCTATAGTCTAATAATCTCTTATACAGTGAGCTGCTACCACACTGAAATAACCCCCAAAGAACACTGAAATAACCAATACACAACAAATAATAATTCAGTGGATTGCTATACATATGTGAATTATAGGCCCAAAAAAAATAATCAAAACTTAAATCAACTCTAGATAGTTAATCTTCAAAAACATTCAGTGCACATGCCTTTAATATTAGAATAACATTATAGAAACAGTGTAACCCCCTTGAAACGTTTGGAAAAAAAATAAAACACAAATATGTAAATGGCATACTCACATGTACCAGAGCTAGCTCTGGCTATAAGTGCCTCTGGGTCTGTGATCACTCCCCTTGCATAAGTAGATATTTCTCAACACTTGAATCTTCATATATTAGTATTTCAAAGGGAAAATATATATAGTAAAATACTGTATGTTAGAAGTTATAACAGTAAAATTGGGACTCTTCAAATGGCTCAGAGCATAATAAGAGCATAGATAAGATCTACACCATCTCTCTATGTAAGTTCCCAAAAATTGGGTGACCAGATGACTATTCTAGAGTTTAAAAAACAGCTTAATTTTAATATACATTAAAAACAAATTAAACAAAATCCAGAATTGCATTTTGCTTCTCCAGCTTCTTCAGTCCAGTAATGAAGTGACTGTCTTTGGTCATCCTCACATAATTATACCCCTTCTTAATTAATGGGTTGATCTCCATTCCATCCATGATCTCTCTCTATGATCTCAGCCATGATATGTCATATCCTTCCATGCATTGCATTGCTGACTAGCATGCCGTTCCGATTGTCATTGTGCTCATAGTTACCAACAAGTGCTTGTTTCAGGGCTCTTTCTCCAAGAATAGAAGTTCAAGTCCCACAATTTTATATATCACACTTGATTTTATTACAAGATTGTTATCTTACAATCTTATAATAGAATCAAGTGATAATAGTACACAATTTTAAACAAAGATTTTTAGGCTATTAATGAAAATAATTGATCAAGACTAAATTAAACAAGATTCGTTTTTGTGGATACCATATAATGCAAGTATAAGAGTGTGCCTCAGTGCAAGTATAAGAGAGTGCCTCAGTGTCTTTTAAGACCACTAATTTTCACTTGTATGCTCACTAATTTTGCAATATGTTGTTGGGCATAAATCTGCTTTATTGTGATCACTTGTATCACTTGATTCAATTTTATTGATATACATAGGATATATTATAAGTATAACAAATGCCTCAATGATGGTTGAGAAGCTCTTAAAAGATTTGGCACCCTGCCACTAAAATAACATTTGAAAGTGTTATGGTAGTCACCATCACCATGAGTTTCAGATGAACTCTCTATGTAGAACCCCAGCCTACTCCTATGTCTGAGTCACCCTGTGCCCATTGTAGGTGCAGGGTGTGTGTAATGCAGGGCCGGCCTTAGGGGTGTGAGAGCTGTGTGGCGGCAAAGGGCGCCATGGAGCAGGGGGCGCCCTGCAGCAGACACAGCTCACACATGGCTGGCAGTAATTTAAAAAAATGTGCGGCAGGGCGGAGCTTACCATGCGACGGGGCAGAGCTTCCTGTGCGATGGGGGCAGAGCTAAAAGCGCTGGATAACTGATGCAGGGGAAGCTTCCCCAACACCCAGTCTCCAGGAGCTTCACTGCCTCCACAATGAACTTCACAGGTAACTGTGATTGTCAGTGTGAGTGTCTGCCTGTGTGTCTGTGA